GGAGGAGGCTGGGCTGTGTGCCCATACTTCTTAGACTCATGGCACAGTGGTTATCTCAGGGCGTGTTTTTGAGCTGTGGGCGTGACCAGGCTGGACCGGTGGTACTAATTGGGCTAATGTGCAGGAGGCAAAGCAGGTCCAAGAGCAGCTGCTGCTGAGCCCATCCTCCCCTGCCACCTGTTTTCCGGCTTTCCTACGTGTGCTGCCTTCCCCCATTAGACTGGAAGCTCCGTCAGGGAAGGGACTGATGTGTTCACTTGTATTTATAGCTGTGTAGCGACCCCCGCAAAGGGCTGGCTGACTCCCCCAACCCCCTGAGAGCTGTGGTTCTTCCCAGATTGGGAAGAGAGGAAACGAACGCAAGATCAGCGGTGGAAGGGGAGGGGTTTTTCACCCATGGCTATGGTGGGGTACATGGGAGACAACAGGCAGCAGGAATACACCGCATGACAGGACCTCAAGGCTGTTCATGTCTCATCCTCCCTTCCCACACCCCTGCTCTTCTAGGCGTGGGTCCAGGCTCTGAAATTCTACACAAGAAAGTCTTTGTTGTTGGGAGTGAGGAGGGGGAGACACACACACACACACACACACACACACACACACAGAACACGAGACACAAGGAGGGAAGAAAGGAGACATTGTGGTCATCCCACGACAGCCCAGGAGACTGGAGCATAAGGCCATGAGAGGGATGCCTTCCCTCTGGCTGGTCAGACTGGGAGGTCTATGTGTATTTTATCACAGGTGCTTGCGTGCCAGAAGCAGGACTAGGGAGAGAAGGCTGAAGGACAAGAGGAGAACAGTGGGTGAGCCCTGCCCTGCCCTCGCCTTTTTTCCAGTTGTGCTTTTCTTATACTTGTTCTGATAGAGAACACCTTTGCTGCACTTCATCTTCTTTCTCAGAAACACTTGCAGTGGACCCTGTCCTTATATTGCTAGGTGTCCCATTGCCTGTGTCGTGAGAGCTCACTGGGAGCCACAGGAAAGGAGGACCCTTCCTTGCGCAGGGCTCTAGCCCATTGCTGGAGTTCTGTTCTCTGGCTGGCTGGATAAGCACGAGCCATTTAGCAGCTGCTCTGCTAAGTGCAGAATCCCTACGAATTTGAGTGTAAATCTTCCTTTTAGATGGAAATCAAATTACATATGTCACACTTAACAGTGCCTGGTACATAATACATGCATAATAACTGAGTATCTATATACGTACCTATTCTCTCTGTCTCTCTCTGTGTCTCTCCTTCTCTCTCTCTCTCTCTCTCTCTCTCTCTCTCTCTCTCTCCATTTATCCATCCATCCATCTATCCCCTTAGCTCTCAGGTTAGTCCCTCAGCCAGCATAGCCTGAGAGGGATTGCCAGGAGGAGGAAGGGATAGGTCACAGATTCAATCAAACTTTGCCACTTCTACAGGAGTCCCTGGTCATGTTTCCCTTTTAACAGACAAGGAAGTTTGGATGCAGAGTCACTGAACGACTCATTGTCTGAGCCTGGCATCCTGGTGCTCCAGGGCCATCACGCAGCCAGGGTGGTGGTGGTTCTGGTAATGTCCCCTCAGCAAACTATGGGTCCTGCTCGTAGAACATCAGTTGCTAAGACCAAGAGGAAAGAAGCAAAGACTAGGGGGGTCAGGTTGTGGCCCTGGTTGTAGAAAGGATGTAGACCCTCCTCAGACTAGTCTGGTTAAGGTGCTAACCTGAGGACTAAGGGTATGACTGAATGGCTGGCTAGCTAAGTGGATGGCTGGCTGGCTGACTGGATGGATGGATAGATGGATGGATGGATAGATGGATGGATGGATGGATGGATAGATGGATGGATAGATGGATGGATGGATAGATAGGTAGGTAGGTAGGTAGATAGGTAGATAGATAGAACAGAGGATCAGAGGTGGGGGAAGAATGCCTGTGTAGTCCTCATGCTGGGGCCTGCCTTTGCATTCACTGTCCAACTCTATGAGCGATAGGCAGCTACAGCCAGAGGACCCAGCCTGTGATAGGATAACAAATAGAAAAGACTGGCCCCTGAGGTGGCAAGACTTAGAGAGCACCCAGATGTGCTGGACTGGACCTATGGAAGAATCTGTGACTGAGTCCAGAGGCTGCGCTCGAGAGATTTGCTAATCCTGCACAGAGGAGCTTTGTTGATTCCCCCCCTGGCACTGGTTATAGTTCTTGGTGGGAGCAGTGGGTCTACATCTAGACACCTTGAGCTGCCCTAGAATGCCAGGCTGTGGGCTGTGTCCCTAATTACTACCTACTACTTACATCTTGAAGAAGTTTTAGACACATGGTCAGTGTGGTGATTGTGAAAATATATTTCCTTCCATGAAGTAAGAACTTCATGTAGCAGAAAGTTGTCTGCTTGCCTGTGTGGTGGACTCCATTACGCCTTCCTCTCCTGACTAGGGCTTAATGAAATCCACTGGATGGGAGGCCCAGAATTGTCCTGGTGGGGGCCAGGAAGTCCCCAGTTCTCTGAGAACCAGAGTTTGGCACTTTCTACTGTGGAGTGGTGTGCAGAACACCAAGGGAACATGGCCCTTCCCAGAATCTGGTGCTTTTGGTGATTTGGAGTAGGGCTCTCCACTCACCATCTTCCTCCTCTCTGATGGATTTCCCTGGGGCCATACCTAGTGAGACGCAGCAGTGACACCTGGTGGGTAAATGAGTTAGCTGTGAAGCCATTGCACTGGCTCCATTTTAAGATACAAATAACTGAAGCTTCAGCCACTGTCCTCAGCCTCACAGAAGAGATTCTGTCCCCTGAGGGAGTGAAAAGAAAACCAAAGCAGGATGCCAGGAGTACTCCGTTCGTCTGTTGAAGGGCAGCTTGCTGGAGGCTGGCAGAGCCAGAGGCTCGGTGCAGGGAACACAGGAGTCATGGCTGTTCCATATTGGGCAGGCAGATTAGCAGTTCTCTCTGCTCCAGAATGTTTGTCCCTCTTCCTCCTCTTTCCAGGGCTTTGGGCCATCTATTTTTATACATCTCCAGAGACTCTGGCTCCTCCGGAGAGGGTGGATAGCTTCTCCTCCAAGCCGCTGCTGTGACTACATAGATCCCATCGCTTTCCTCAATATGGAGCTTCATTTGCCCCCTTTAGACCATCACACTGCTCTCAGCCACTGCATCTTCTGATCATGGGGACAACAGACTTTGAAGGCTGTTGACTGTTATTGTGTCTGCCAAGCCTGAGCTCCCCTCCCTTTTGGCTTGTTTCCAGGAGAGCTACCCCGACTTTAGAGTACTCTTGAAATAGGCTGTTCTATGGGAGACTGAATTCTGGGGGGCCTCTCTTCTTTGTCATTGAGGTCATGTATGTGTGTGTGTGTATGTGTGACTGTGTGAGTGTGTTTTATTGAGAAAAGGAGGGGCATCAAATCACAACGGACACACACCCCTGGTTGTATGGAAGGGATTTCTTGGGGGGGTGGTGAGGGGCAGCCCCAACAAAGGCTGGTCAGACCCAGGTCATGGCCACTGTTGTGTGACCTTTGGTTCAGACACAGGCTGAAGCAGATGATCTCTGAGGTCTCTCCTCACTCTGTGAACCTAGGAGTTATCAGAATGATGGCGTCTCACGCCCAGGCTCAAGAGGCACTGGGTTTTTCCCTACTCACTCTTTGACAGTGTGGGCAAGTTCATGTTAATAATTTTTAGTTCAGTACAAATTTCTGGTCTCTTTTACGTTCATTGCTCAATGCTTATTCATAATTTTTTTTGGGGGGGCTAGGCAATCAGAGTTAAGTGACTTGCCCAGGGTCACACAGCTAGTAAGTATCAGGTTAGATTTGAACTCATGCCTTCCTGACTCCAGGGCTGGTGCTCTATCCGCTGCCCCACCCAGTTGCCCCTTATTCACTATTTTCAATGGTTGTCTTGCACAAAGGAATTGTCAAACTAGAAGAGGCAGAATCAAGTTCCCCAGTCAAACCAAGAATGACTTAAGCCCTTAGTGTGTGCCAGGCACCAGAAAATCAAAACTAACCTGGCTGATAGCTGGCCTCGTGAGCAGAGCCCTTTAAGGCTCACCACTACTTTATGTTGACTCAAAAAGCAATCCCTGCCCTCAAGGAGCTCACATTCTAATGAGGAGGGAGCCTTCTATACAGACTAATTTACAGCTTCTGGCCTCCAAACCCAGGCGAGTCACTGCTTCTAGCTGCCTCGAGAAACTCCCTTTAACTTGTCTCTCCACCTTCTCTCTCTCTTTCTCTCTCTGTCTCTGTTTGTCTCTCTCTCTCTCTCTGTCTCTGTCTCTCCATCCCTCTGCCTCTCTCTGTATCTCTCTGTCTCTCTTCTCTTTCTCCCTCTGTCTATCTGTCTCACTCTGTCTCTTTCTTTCTGTCTCTGTAGCTGTCTCTGTCTCTTCTCTTTCTCTCCCTGTCTTTCTTTCTGTCTCTCTCTGTGTTTGCCTCTCTGTCTCTCTCCTCTTTCTCTCTGTCTGTCTGTCTCTCTCTGTGTCTGTCTCTCTGTCTTTCTGTCTCTGTTGCTGTCTCTGTCTCTTCTCTTTCTCTCCCTGTCTTTCTGTCTCTCTCTCTCTCTTTGCCTCTCTCTCTCTCTCCTCTTTCTCTCTGTCTGTCTGTCTGTCTGTTCATCTGCCCATACCCTCCGCTCTCAGGTTAGCACCCCAGCCAGTGCAGCCTGAGGAGGGTTGCCAGGAGGGCGAAGTGACAGGTCACAGATAGGTCACTTCAGTCCCTGGCCACATTGCCCTTTCCACAGACAAGGAAGTCTGGATGCAGAATCATTGGCCAGATACTGATTGTCTGAGCCTGGCATCCCTGGGCCCTGCTTCTGGGGCTCAGTAGAGCTCTCCTGTGCTCATCCTGCCCCAGTCCTTGCAGCACATTTCTGTCCCCATCGCCATTCCTTCCCAATAGCATGTCGCTGGCCCAGCCATGGACCAGTCATGGCCTTGGCACAAGCCATCCCTGAGTGGCCAGCCGGACCTGGCACCTCTGCTCCCCCGGACGACCCAAGCACTGGCCCGAGGCCTTACCTACTATCATGTGGCTGCAGGCATCACAGAAGGTGGGCTTCTTGAAGATGTGCTCCTGGAAGGCGTGGGCCCCGCCGGGGGCCGGGGGCTGCAGCCGCCCTCTGGTGGGTGTGGAGCTCAGGCTCCCGGCGCCAAAGCGCGGTTGGCTGCCGCGGCTCGCCGTGATCTCGGGCAGCGCGTCCGCCGGCAGCTTTCCGTCACTGCCCGTCCCTTGGAAGAAGTTGTCGGCACTTTTACTCCGTAAACTTTTGGTCTTGAAAGAAAGCGACCGTTTCAGCTTCTGCAGCTGCAACAGAATGACAGAACAGTCCCCCTTACTGGCCATCACGTGGACGCCTGTGCTCTCGGTACCTGCCTGGTCTCCCTGGCATCACTGATGCCCCCAAGGGGTACCACACTCAACACTTCCCTGTTTGGAGTGAGATGTGGGCACAGTGAAAGGAAGCCATGCCTCTGGGTCTAGCCTGGACAACAGAGATCGAGCGTAAAGTCCCCAGGCAGGCTTCGGGCAGGCGGTGGGGCGGGGGGCGGGGTGGGGGTGGGCTGGAGAAGTAGCCTGCATCATTCTGCCCCTCCTCTGCCTCCCACCCCCTCCCCCCACAAACCTCCAGAGAGCTGCTAGCTCCAGTCCAAGTCTGGGATGTGCCTGGGTTTGTTGTCCTTGTAACAGAAAGCTCCAGAATCCCAGAGCTGGAAAGGGTCTTGGGGTCATCTGGCCCAACCTAATCTGAGAAAGTGGTTTGTCTGTAGCATAAATGACAAGTGACCATCCACTGCCTCTCCAGACAGCCATTCTACTGTGAAGCAGCCCCAATGGTAAGGAAATTTTCCTTACATAAAGCTTAATGCTCCTATAATTTAAAAAAAATATATAATTCCACTGGAATTGTGGAACATACCAGGGGCTGTGTCATGTGAAAAAGGGGGCTCCTTTGGATGCTGCTGAGTGGCCAGGTCCATACATGGAGAGCAGGGCCCATGAGGCAAATATCTGGATGATTCTATTGAAAACAATCAGCAGCAGACGCAAGAGAAGAACTTGCTTCACTTTGGAAGCGACCTGGTGTCATTTGAGATGCTTTCAGCACACTCAGTTTGGACAGAGGACCTCACCCTGGCTACCCATGAGACCTTGGCCAAGTTACTTCTTCCTGGGCCCCGATTTTCTTAGAATTGGGGGGGAGTGTAATATTGAAGGTCCTTTCCAGATACAAAATTTTATTATTTTGAATCAAGAGTCCTGAGTCCTAGTCCTGGAGCTACCTCTTACTTATCCTAGGCAGGTTATTTTAACTCTGAACCTGTCTTTTCATCTCCACAACTGGAATAATGACATCTGTCCTGCCCACTTCCCAGGGTGGATTTGAGAATCCAGGGAGTCAGAAAAGTCTCCAAGGGGAGAGAAAAAGTCTCCAAGGGGAGAGAAAGAGAAAGGATGGGACACAAAGAAGAGGATGTTGTCTTGTGTTCTCCCAAGCTGTCAGACAGATCCTTGTGGGACCATGGTCCATATCCCCAGGGGTCTTTCCTTGGCTCCCTTTCCTCTACTCGCTTGCTGACCTCATCAGTTCCCATAGGTCTAGTTAGCACCTCTCTGCAGATGACTCTGAATTATATATCCAGCCCTCACTCTTTCCTGAGCAGAGTCCTGCCCTGTACCTTCAACTGCCTGGGACATACTTCCACCCAAAGGCCCCAGATACCTCTCTAACATAAGGAACCCTGGAGAGAAATTCTTCTTTCCCCCCAAGTCATTGCTCCTTCCGACTTCTCTGTTTCTAATGAAGGCACCACTATCCTCCTGTCTCCCATGTTCACCACCTCAGCGTCATCCTCCACTCCTTGTTCTCCTTCATCCATCATTTGTAATCAATTGCCATATTGTGTTCATCTCCCCTCCTCCACACCTCTTCTTTCCCCCCTTTTCTCTATTGACACCATAGCCATACTAGTGTCCTAGGGTCCTAGCTTCTCTCAAGTGGACTCCCACAATAGCTACCTAATTGCCCCCCCCCCATAATTTTGTATTTATTCTGTATGCGTCTTTGATTTATCTGCCTGTGAACATGTTTTATTTCCCCACTGAATGCAAACTTCCTGAGGGCAGGAAAGTACTTAGCATAGTAAGCAATAAATCAATCCTAGACAATCACAGTAAAAACTAGCATTTATGTAGCCTGTCAGAGTTTGCAAAGCGCTTTTAAATATATTGTTTTTATAGATGGCTGATGGTTAGGAAGGCCATGAGGTGTCTCTCTGAACACTGATAGAAGCCATTTTCCCCTTATGATTAGGTTAAGTATCCTTCACTTACCACTTTGCTCTTTATAGAACATTCCTTGAATTGCTATCATCTCCAGGTATTGGAATGGATACGAAGATGTTACGTGCACTAGAATTGGGAGTGCTCCAGGTCCCAATGAACAAGCTGGAGGCTTACTCCCCTCCCCTTTCTCCCCCCAGCTGTATTGGGCAAAAGGGCTTAAAGAAATGCTCAGGTCGTGGCTCAGGGTGGTGGGGAGGATTCAAACCGACTGCACAGATGAGGCAGAGCCACTCACATATATTTTTTATCTGTGCCAAGGAGAATAATGACCTTAAGATTGGAAAGGATTGAACAAGATTCGAAGGAGTCAGACAGTAAGAGAGCACCTGGCTGCCCTGAGTGAGTTCAAATGACCTGATCTAGGTGAACTATATCCATGGATACTCAAAGAATTCAAAGGTGTGGTAACTGAGCCCATCAATGAAACTCAAAAAATCCTGAAGAGCAGGAGAGGTATTGCAGGCCTGGAGAAGCCAATCCAATCCAATAAACATTTATTAAGCACCTACTGTGTGCCAGATACTGTGCTAGGTGCTGGGGATACAATTAATAAAATGAAAGACAGTCCCTGCCCTCTTGGAGCTTACACTCTAATGGGGGGAGGGGGGCAGAGCCAGAAAAACACGGGTGAGGCCCAGGGAGCGTCTGGTGCAGGAGCGTCATGCTTTGTGTAGTTGAAACCAGGCAGAGGATCAGATGCAGAGAGGATCGAGCTGAAAAGTCCTGTTTCTGCCCTCGATAAAGGAAGGCATGGAGGGAGTTCAGTACGCCACCCTCCAGCCCTCAGAACAGAGGGAACAGGAAGCCGAGGGAGGCGGTGAGATTAGAGCTGATGAGTTTCACCTGGGAGGGGCACCGTGTTCCACATCACTGAAATCAGGCAGAAAAGCAGAAGCAGAGTGGTGAATAGCACAGTCCTATTTTTTTGTTTTGTTTTGTTTTGTTCTTCGTTGTTTTTAATGAGAATAGAGTCTGTGAACTCTAGGTCAATGAGCTGAGCCTGTAGTGAAATTGTAGAATGTCTTATCAAACAGGTGGCTGATGAACACTTAGAAAAGGATCCCTAAGCTAGGTCTAGTTAGACTAAGAACAGGCTGTCTGTACAAGTTTGTAACAGGGGTTTTGTTATTACTTTCTCAGTTGGGGAGGGGGAGGTGGGACAGAGAGAATGTGGATCTGAAAAAAATTTTAATGAAGAACAGGTTTTGATAGATGAAGCTTTTGTCCTTTTTGGACAGACTTATTAAAATGGTGGATCAGGGAAATGCCGTAGCTTTGGTTTACCTCGATTTTAGCCAGTATCTCTGCTATTCTTGTGGGTAAGGTGGAGAGATGCCATATAGATGATAGTGTAAGTACACATTTTCATAAGTGGTTAACTGGAGAGAACCAAAGAACAGTCATTGAGGGTTTGATGCCAGCTTGGAAGGGCATCTCTGGGGGGTTCTCAGGGACCTGTCTGGCCCAGGTAATGCTAGGTAACAACATTTTTATCAGTGACACGAGTGAAAGCATTTGCAACATTTTCAGCTGACTTTAAGCTGAAAAAGATGGTTAACATGCTAGGAGACAGAGTCAGCGTCATGCAGGATTGAGGCAGGCTGAGCTAAATCTACAAAGAAGGTGACAAGCTATTGAGATAAATGAAGCAGCATCGTTGGGCTAAAAATGGACTTTCAAGTGTCTTTTGGGAGAATTATGGCTCCCCAGCCGTGTGAAGATCAGAAAGTCACTCTGGGCTGAAAGCTAAGGGCGTGAAAGATTCAGGAGCTGATCTTGGGCTACGTTCAAAGAAACAAGAAAAGAGTTAGTCCCTCTGCCCTTGGTCAGATCACCTCTGGATGATTAGGTTCAGTTCAGGAAGGACAGCACAGAATAAAGCATAGAGCACTGGGCTTGGAGTTAGAAAGACCTGAGTTCAAATCTCACCCCAGATATTGACTAGCTGTATGACCCTGGCCAAGTCACTTAACTTTTCTCTAGGCCTCAGTTTCCTCATTTGTAAAGTGAAGTGTCAGACTGGATGGTCTCTAAGGTCTCTTCCAGCTCTAAATCTATGATAAGGACATTAATACATTAGATAGTAGATGAAAGATAGTGGATAGTGAAGGATTCATGCTGTATGATCATTTGAAGGAAAGCTTGAGGTTGGGCATGGCAGCTGCCTTTGAGTATCTGAGAGGCAGTCCTGGGGAAGAAGGAGTGTTTTTTTCTGCTGGTCCTCTGAAGGCATAGCCAGAAGAGGGGCAGGGGGAGTGGGAGGAGCTGCATGGAGGCATATTTAGCCCTAATTCAAGTCGAAACTTCCTCACAATTAGCGCTCACCTGGAGTGGAAGGGGTTTCCTCAGGAGGCAGCAGTTTGTGCTTCCGAGATTCTCAGGTCAAGGCTAGATGACCTTGGGAGTGGGGGAGGGGCTGTAGCCAGGGTCGTGGCTGGGTCTGAGCTGGACCAGGTGCTGGCTGAAGTCCCACTCGACTCTGATCTGAGCTTTGGGGATTCTCTGAGTTGGGCTGCTGGGACTCTATGGAATCGGTCCCTTCCTTTCTTTGGTGGGGCAGGGCCTGAGCATGTGTTAGCAGCCCTTGGGGTCCCAGACAGTGGCAGCTAAGTTTTCAGCTAAGCAGCTTCTAAAGTCCAATGAAAACTTGCATGGAGGAGCATGACAGCATCATCAGTCTGAACTCCTGTTCCAGTAACCCCTGGTTCTGCATCTGCCTTTTATCATTTGTCTGGTTAAAACCAAGGAGGGTGTGTGCCTATGCATGTGTGTGCGTGTGTGAGTGTGTGCATGTGTGTACATGCATGTGTGTGTGTGTGTGTGTGAGTGCCACTTGCTAAATGAGCACCTGTGTTTGATGACTTCTTTCCAGAAACCACTTTGAATGCTCTGATCATGACTATAAATTGGAGAATCAAGTGAATTCCCATTGCAGGTATCTTCTCCACAGCCATTCTGTG